CTGGGTTAGTTCGAACTCGTCTCTTAGATATTCCCAAATCTGAGCATATTTGGCGTCCTTCCATGCAATATCTGATCTGTTGATCAGATACATATGACAACGTCAGTCGAATATTAGCAAATATGGAGAAATTATACGTGACGAAAGCTATTAACTGATGCATTGCACCCTGAAAGAAGTGGAAAATAAAACAAATCCAGTTTCTATAAATTATGCATATTCAACAAAGGAGTTTAACTATTTATAAACTCATTTGAGGTTTGTATTTGTTCAGTAAATAACATCCCACATGAAGAAAATTGCAAAACTGATACATTTATTCTATATGGCTGCACCCACTCATATATTTTATATAGTAATCACCAGTAGACATACAAAAGAAGAAATGGATGAAAATATCTGTTCTTGTTCCGGTTTTCCCCGAAGAATCTTTTCTTTTTTCAATTTTCCCATGATATGGGGAACTAAATTTCGTATGATATGAGAGAAAGGGGGAAAACATGCCCAACACTAAATAACAAGTGAATGAACATACAAAACTCAAATGACGTATTGGCCAAATTCATGTAAGTACCGAACAATTGAAATTACCTCTCAAAAAGTCCCAACTTAAGAATAACATCTGCAAGATTGGAGTTTGCCTTTCCAACCAGTTGAAAGAGCTTTTTCCTCTCCATTGTAAAGTTTCCAGTTTTCTCCATCTCCCTATTGATGTCAGTGAACTCCCCAACCATTCCATCAACCTGAAGACCAAGAAAACGTAAACTCATCTCACACCAAGAGTGACTTTTGGAAATAAAAAAAAAAAAAAAGTCACATGCAAGTTGATACAAAACATACCTGACGAACATAGTAGTCGAGAGCAATACTCTGACCAAGAACACTACCTATTGTACGGATCCCATCAATATTCAAATACTGGAGCATAATGTAATCAAGTCCACCTTGCATCCATGTATGTAATGTTGGATTCTCTCGCACCTCGTATTCTATCATTTTTAGCAAACCCAAATCAGAAATGCATGAAGATGATCAAGACGACGTTTAAAAACAAAAACATAAAAAAAAATAAAATATATACATATATATATATATCCATCAGCTGTTTTCTATACATGAATCTACATCACAATACAAATGCGCCAAAATATATCAGCAAGCACAATACACACCTGTAAATAAATATACCATGTTTAAATAATTTTCATCCTCATCAAAAACAGCAAATATGGAATATCCAGAACTTCAAGCAATGTCACTGGGAAGTTTGTAATAACTTCAATGCAAATAATCTTTCCAGTGTCAGCACAGAATACTCACACTTTTCGTCCACAATCATCTGGCAAGGTACATCCCAGTTATTCAAATAGCTTATTCTTTCTTAAGATAAGAGAACACTAAAATTAGAAACACGATAAAGTTGGAATAGCCACAAGATAATCAAATTTAAATGTGGGACCTATATTTTTTATACTCTGTTAGTTTTGAAGCAAAAAACTACAGGTTGTCATTGAAATCTCTTTTCTCTTTTCATACACTCAACGTTTAACAATTGAATCTAGTCAATCTACCATACGATTATATAAAAGTTAGTAAAGTGAGCAGTCCACCGAGTAAATCCAGTTATTATCACGAATAAGCTTACCATCCTTTTTCATCTCGGGAAGCAACCCCGAAGCATGTCGCTTTACAATCTTCAAATAATCGTCAACTTCATGATCACAGACATTGAATAGGACGATCGAACCATACTGGAAAACTACAATGTAACAGCACTGACTTCCGCATAAACTAGAATCCATACTACCCTGAAACACCAACAATTCACTATTAACCATGAAACCAAAACGAAATAAGCTCGCTGCCATCAATTACCAATATGCATGGTATTCAAATAAATTGAAATTTTTATAACGAATAAGAGATCTTGTTGATAAATACTTTTCTTTTGAAGTAAGCATCTTGTATATGATCAGAAAACTGCAACTCCAATTTACTAATAAACGAACATGAATGTAACAACTTACATTAGGCAGAGGATTGAAATCACCGAATCTCAAAACCACGTAATTGGTCATGCGAGAAGACGGTGGAATAAAATTCTGCTTATTATGCTCCACCAAGCTCCTCAAATCCACGCTGCCACACCATCATCATACCCATGATCAACAAAACAACCCATTATCAATACTAAACTATTTAATAAGGCCTAAATTTCAGGTTTAACCCTGTCACAGTACAATTCCAGTGGAAGCCGTGTAACTTAAAATCACAAATTCTTGTGTGAGACAATCTAGTCATTATGCGAGCTGTCATATTATTTGGAGAATAATGCATACTTATAAAATGCCATATTTGTGTTTGTCTTTTTTTTTTAAAGTATGACCTTTTTCTAATGAAAATTACATATTCGAACAAAGAGTATGTCCACCTGGTGAGGCCGGCCTAATACGAGCCCAACCGACTTATATATATATACACACACACACAAGCATACATAGACTGACACATTTACATAATGTGTGTGTGAATCAAAATTACAAATTTCATTCCCAATAAATTGAAATTTTTCCCACGGTCTGTAAAATCTGAATGCATATTAACTCTGTTACATGAAAAAATGAAGGAACAGAATCTCAATTCACAGCAGAACATCAATTTTTTTTTTTTATTCTCCCACAAAACATCCAATTTACGCAGCTAAAATCTTACGAGATTGGTGTTGACAATAATATATATGATACCAAGAGTTGATTGCAATTTACCCAGTTTAGCAGGAATTTCAAAGAATAAAAAAAAAACAAGAAATTAAAAACAAACCTTGTCGAGAATAAAAAAGCCCTAACGGGGATAGTAGCCTTGGAAATCTCCCCAATGCCGTCATCTTCCTCCTCCTCCTCCTCCAGTCGGCCAACGTTCTCCTGGCCATTGACGGCGTCGCTTCTCCAGACAGTGGATGCGGCCCACGACGACGCCTTCTCCATCTTCCCTTCCTTACAGGACCATTTGATCATGATGTTATGAGTGATGGCATCCGGCTTAACTCCTTTCTCACGCATCTCATCAGCCAACTGAAAAGCATCCGAACTCCTTTTCGCCTCGACACACCCATTGATCAAAGTGTTGTACGTGATCAAATCAGGAGAAAGCTTCAAACTTTCCATCTTATCCTTTGCCTTGAATGCCTCGTCGAGCCTCCCGGTCCCACACAGACCGTTTATCAGCGTGTTGTAAGTCCAAACGTCCGGCAAAACATTGTCCCGAGCCATAAGATCCATGACTTTAGCAGCATCATCGAGCAAACCTACTCGACAATACCCATCGAGCACGATATTGTAAGTGTTCCGGTTAGGGAGAAGTCCCTTACCTTTCATGTCGAGCAGAAGGTTACGGATTTCGTTCAGCAGACCCTTCTTACGCAGGGCATCGAAAATTGTGTTGTAGCTCGCGTTATCCGGTTTGCACCTGAAATAGAGCTCCATCTTCCTCAATAAATCCAGAGCATCCTTGAATTTGTGCTGCAAACAGTACCTATGGATGAGGATGTTGAAGGTGACCACGCTTGGGGTCACGCCGAGCTTGACGGCGTCTTTAAACAGCTCGTTGCAGAGTTTTGTCGTTTGAGACGATGTGTTGTTTTTCACCAGGGAGCTCAGTAAGGTGTTGAGAGTTAAGAGATTTGGGGGAAGTTTGAGGCGCTTCATCTTTTTGAAGATCTCGACGGCGAGGTGGGGCCACCCGGCGCGGCAGTAGGCAAAGATGCACGTGTCAAGCAAGGATTTGGACGGCGGCGGGAGGGGCGGAGCGGGGTGAAGGAGGTGGCGGTGGAGGTGGTGGTGGGGGTGCTCGGAGATGATTTGGGAATGGAGTAGGGTTTTGGCGTCATTGAATTTGTGGAAGGAGATGAGGGAGTTGAGGAGGGAGATTAGGGGAGGGAGTGGTAGAAGGGAGAGGGGTTTGGCGGCGGCGGAGTGAGAGCGTGCTAGGCTGAGAAAGGCGAGGAGGGCGGAGGGACGACGGCGTAGGGCGGGGGAGGAGAGGACGGAGTGGACGACCGGCGGAGATAGGTGGGGGAGGTAGGTGCAGAGGGCCGCGTGCAGAGAGGAGGATGTGGCGGAGGCGGAGCTTCTAAGGATAGTGGTGATGGTGGATTCGAGCTGCGTGAGGCTCAGTAACGGCGGAAGGGGCGGCGGTGGTGTCGGGTGTGCGGCGGCGGAGGCGGCGGCGGTAGTGGTGGTGTAGGAGGACATTTTGTCTCGGCTTTTTGAACGATTTTATTAGGGGTTTTATTTTTTGATTTGCAGGCATTTTGTTTTATTTGGTATTAATTTTTGTTGTTTTATTTTTCTTATATCTGCTAATAACAGTGGACTAATCTTAAAAACAAAGCAATTAAGCTATGATAATAATAATTCCTAGGAGAAAAAACTCGTTATAAACATAGTAATATCAACACCTTCGGCGAAAGAGGGGTTCGCAGCA